GGGTGGGTGCGGGTGCGGGAGTGGGGGCAGGGGCTGGTCCAGAGCTCGGTCTAGAGCCTACGAGGGAAGGAAACATGAGCCACATGGACCCAGCCACGCTGCTGTTGGGAGTGGTCGGGGTTAGGCCAGGTTTGGTCCAGATCACGGCCTTCTCCGGGAGGCTGCTTGCAACAGAGGAGGACAGCGATTCTGAGCTGTGCGTTGACGAGTCCTCCCTCGCGGCCCTCCTTGTTTTGGTACGCTTGGCGGGCACTTTCTTCTCCGTGGACCGGGGTCGCGCCGAGCCCTTCTTCTGGTGGTGCGGAGGCCAGGCGCGCGTCGGTAGCGGCGGTAGCGTGAGGGTGCGCTCCTCGTAGCACTGCAGATGTCGGTCCGCGCCCACCTTGCGGTGGGTGGAGGCCGTAAGCAGGACGTCGTCCGCCGGCGCACCCGCACTTGACACCCGGGCCTCGGAACGGCAGCGCGCACGCTTCACGGTCTCGTCGCGCGGGCCGCGCTTCAGGCCCCCTCGCCGAGGCAGCTGCGGCAGGCTATGCGCCCGGCCAACGGCATCGGCCGTGCTGGTCGACATGTGGCAGAGACCCGAGTGGTGAGAGCCGAGGTCGGAGTCTGAGGTCTCCAGGTCGAAGCGAACCGAGTGCTGGCTGGTGCGCTGGCGCCCCTGCCCCCTGGCCTCGGCCCTGGCGCCCAGCCTGCTCCTGCTTCCCGATGGACTGCTCTGGCCGCTGGCTGGCCTGCTGGTCGGCCTGCTAGTGGGCTGGCTGGCCGGCCCCATGCAGCCCGCGTGCCTATCCGTCTTGAACAGGTCCTTGCGGGAGGGCCGACGCGGATGTGTGGACTTCCTCGGTGGGGCCTCGGACAGGTCGCTCGTGGAGGTCTGCACGCTGAGACGGCGTGCCGAGGACGCCCACTTGCCGTGGGTGAGCCCGCGGAGCCAGTCCTTGATGCGGCTGCTGCACTTGGCGGCCGGCACCTTGGGCGGCTGCGGCCGCGTGCTCTTAGCGGGGGTCCTGGTCGGCGACGTCCTCGCTGCTCGGGGACGGCCGTCCGCCCGCTCCGGGCTGTCACTGCGTTGCCGGCGGCGTGCCTTGAGGTCGTCCGCAGACTTGGACCGGGCGCCGCGGGGAGAGCGGCGCTGCTGGCGCGGCCGCTCCGCGTTCAGTCCTGATCCCCGGCGTAACCTCGCCTCGCCATCCTCCTCGCTGGAGGACGTCTCCGACAAGCACACGTCGACGCGAATCCCAATGGACGTCCCGACACTCATTCTGCTGGCGACGCGAATTGGTACTTCTATTGCCTGTGCAGCGCTCAGCTCCTCTGTCCCTTGTCCAGGACTTACCTCTGCCAATTGTCCAGAGCTCGGTTCCTCTGTGTCATGCCCAGGGCTACTCTGATCGGGGATGGTGTAATTTGTCCCCTGTCCGGGACTCACCTCATCAGCCTTCTGTTCAGGACTCGGCTCCTCTGACCTCTCTTCCATTCTTGTCTCCTCCATGACACCTCGCAGTTCAACATGCTCTACAAGCGCATCACTCTCTGGCCCCAACGTTCTTTCGGTGCCCGCTTCGACCTCCTGCTTAGGGCCCGTCGGGACGTCCGATGGAATCACAGCAGACGGGCCTTGCGTTTCAGGCGAGCTATGAGCGCGCTCTTTATCGACAACACGGACCTCGTCGTCGCCCGAGTCATGAGCATCCAGGCAGATTGACGAGGACACTTTGGGCAAACCACTGGAGCTCTGGTTCCCAGCCGGAATAGTGTCGGATGGCACTTGGGAGGGTGCTCTGTTGGTGGAGTACGCCTGAGTACCGTCGTCCTTTTTGTTGTTTTCCGTTTTGTCTATCGTCATCGCACGATTATCGGCGTTGGTTTCCGACGAGGCGACAGCTACCGTGTGAGAGGGTAGATTTGATGTCGACACTTTCTGTTCAGGCGCAGCAGTCTGTGTGTCTGGTGCCAGTAAGGGTGATTCTCGTTCCGACACCATCGCGGTTTGCTTCATTGAAGGCTCCGATGTCGATAATTTTGCAGTCGACGCGCTTTGGGACACTTTTGTGTTGGATCCCACAGAGGGGAGCTCTGTTTCTGACACAAACACGGGCCTCTTGGCCGAAAATGGCGTATTCAGCCTAGTACCCGACTCAGAGGCGGGCAGGTCTGTGTATGACCCTGTTCTGGATACAGTCGTGTAGTGTGATTCGAGTGTGGGCAGTTTAGTGTTCGACCCTGGTAATGAGGGCAGCCTAGAGTCGGACGCCGCCGTTGACAACTTCGAGTCAGATGCCACTCTTGGTACCTCTGCTTTTGACGCGAATGTATGAGACTCGGTGGATGACGCCAGGGTTTGCAGCCTCGGGTCCGACCTTGTATCAGCCTCTGACAGCTTTGTGTCCGTCTGTGGTGGTCCGTTTGCGACAGTGATGATGGAGAAGTCCGCCGTGACGCCGGTGGACTCGGTGGCGACCCGCGTTGACCCGGTGGTGCTGGAAACTCTTCTGGCGTCACAGGCCGGGTCGCACTTTTGCGACTGCGGCACCCCCTGAAAGCCCTGGCTGACCGAGTCCTCGGCGGGAGCCGCAGCCGCGTCGCCAGGCTCGTCGGTGATCGCCCCCGTGCTGAGCAAGGACTGGGCGCGCGCCTCGCAGGCGGCGTCGCAGACCTGTAGACTGCCACCGGCGCCACCACTCTCACTGAACAGGTCAGGCAGGCGAGCCTCGCAGGACGCGTCGCAGGCCTGAGGGCGTTCGAACGCGAGGAAGTCGAGTGCGCTCGTAGCGGCGCTGAAGACCGAGGGCGCGCGAGCTTCGCACGAGGCGTCGCAGACGTGCGGGCTGGGCAGTACGCCGGGGTCCGTGCCCTCCGAGACGCGAAGGTCCGCACTGCACAGCGACAGGTTCCGCAGCTCACACGCCGGGTCGCACCCCGTGTCTGTGGTTGCAGTGGCGGCGGGCGACGCCTCCACGGATACGTCCTTGGTGTGCGCCCCCGGGGAAGCCTCTCGGTCGTGTCGGCTTGGCGTAGGGGAGCCACCGCCTTCAGTGCTCTCTTCCTCATGCAGGGCAGCCAGACCACCGGACCGACCATCTGCCTCCCATTGTTGCTCAGCATCGACTGCTGGCCGACCTGTTGGCGATTGAAAGATCGGCGTAGTATTGAGAGTATGTCGGTCGTACAGAGAGAACTCCTCGTCAGGATAGCGATCTGGTTGGTGAGGTGCTGCGGTAGCCGATGCCCAATGGGTCTCAGCTGGCAGTGGTGTTACCCGCTCTTGAAGGCTGTGACGGGACTCTACGCGCGGTGATGTGGGCCTCGACACCGACCTCTGCACGTCGGCGGGGTACTGCAGGAGGGAGGCCTCGGCCGGCGGCAGGGACGTGTCCGCAAAGCTGCGGCGCACCTGATAAGAGCCCGATGGCGCGTACGAGGTCGCAGACGCGCGCGCAGGAGCCTGCCCGGGCGCGTCCAGCAGGGACACTGCGCTGAAGTGCGCGTCCACGGCCACGGTGGACGCGCCCGGTGGGCCGCCGCGGAACACTGTCTCTACGCTGGCGTTGGCGGCCAGGGGCAGCGTGGAGACGTTCGGCTCGGGTACCCACTGCTCGGCCTGGTGATGCACGGGCGACACCACGGGCGATATCGCCCAGGAGCGGCGCGTCGAGGACGCCACGCTCGCCGTCGGGACGACCGCCGAGGGCCGCCGACAGTCGGCGTGCCGCGCCCACGACTTGCTGTGCGACGCGTTAGGGCCGAGCTTGGCGGCGCTCACCATAGCCGAGGGCCGGCGAGGGACAGGGCTGGACACCGTGGAGCTGACCAGAGCTGACGGGGGCCGCAGGACGGAGGCCGAGGGAACGCCTGAAGGCGACGTCGCGGCAAGAACGGACATCTGAGTTTCTCTTCGCGGCGCCCTGGCCCAGGGCGACGGCCGAGAAAACGGCGAGCTGGCAGCAGAATCGCGCGGAGACCTGCCGTGTCCTGGTGAGGGCTCGGGCGACGCCCTGCTCGCCGTGACGACCACCTCCGGCAGCGCGGAGCCGTCCGCGGCTGCCAAACCACCCGAGGCCGGCTCCCACACCTCACCGGAAATGGACTCCAACGATTCTGTAGTGGCCAGAAAGATGTCTCTGTCGGCGCCGACATCGAGGACCACGTCTCCTCGGCTTGTTATCGGCTTGGGCGTGAAAGAGCTGCCGTGGGAGCTGACGACGGGCAGGCTGATCTGCGCCTGAGACAGCTTGATCTTGGGCATGGGTGGCGGGGCCAGCCTTTGTACGTGCTGCGGTGCCCTAGGCGACCCGCCTGGCCTCACAGGGCTAGGCGACCCGCCTGGCCTCACAGGGCCAGGCGGCCTTGCGTGGGCGCTGTTGTTGGGCCTGGAGGGCGGCTTGTGGCGAGATGGGGAGGCGTTTCTGATCTGACGAGATGCCTCGGGCTTCGGTCTTAGCCCCACCTCCCTAGGCGGGGCCATATTTGGAGCGGCAGTCCTGACTGGGGGGTGGGAGCCACGCCCGGAGGTCGCCACAACGCTCACGTGCGCGGAGATGAGACGCTGCCGGCGCCGCGGGGGCGCGGAGACCACCCGCGCGGGAGTCCGCGGGCCTATGCCCCCTACGACTTCCAGGACAAACGAGGACGGAGGCGGGGAGCCCGAGGGTGACGCAGGGCAGGAGCGACGCGATCGCTTGGGGGATGGTCGGAGTGACGGGCCGACGCCCACCCCCGCGTCGACGCACACCAGCGGGGAGGTGGAGCGCGTCAGGCAGGGGCGCTTGCGGCCCGCGGACCCAGGAGGACCGACCGGCCCGACCACCGGCCCTACGGCCACTGCGGCGCCCAGCAAAGCCGAGCCCACTACCACGGCGCCGAGTGCGGCACCCGCGGGCGGGCCGGGCGAGGCTCCTGACGCGGAGCTGTGGCGAGAGGCAGGGCTCGGGGGGTCCTTGGGGGAGCCCTTGGGGGAGCCCTTGGGGGAGCCCTTGGGTGTCAGATCCGGCGAGGACGTGACCCAGCGGTTGTCGCGGCCCGCCTTGTCACCGCGGCGGCACTTCTTGCAGCGCCGCGTGCAGCTGCGGTGCGGCCGCGGCGTCCTGGGGGAGGGCTTGGGGGCAGGGGTCGCGGAGTGGGCGGCGCGCAGGGAACGCCCGCTCAGGGATCGCTGCATGGAGCGCAGCGAGCGCCGCAGGACCAGACGCGGCGGGCAGTGGCAACGCGGAGCCCCGGACAGAACGCACGCGCTGCACCGGCGCTCGCGTTCCTCCTCCACGGCGCATGGTTGCTCCTCCTCGACTTCTCCCTTGCAGGAGCAGGAGCTGAGCCCACTCCAGCTGCCGCCGAGCGCGCCCTCCACCCACAGGCCCTCCGTGGGCGTTGGCGGGGTCGGGGTTTGGCCGACGGGTGCGGGGATGGGGATGGACGGGGGGTGCGGGTGCGGAGGGTGGCGGGGCGGCTGGCGCTGCCGGCGCACGGTGCGTGGGGACGTCCACACCTCGGTGACATCCGCGACAGGTGCGCACCCACGCCGGTGGCGGGGCAGGGGGCGACGGTGTGCTCTGGGTGGGACGATGTCGCCTTCACTCACCGCGCCGCCGCGCAGCTCCGACATCTTCTTGCCCAGCATGGCGCTCTTCAGCCCCGACTTCTGCTGCACGTCCAGCACAGCACCCACGAACTCCGCGTGCAGGCGGTCGCGTTCCTTTTCCACCTGAAACACATTGCAGGGGGAAAAAAACCAAGTGCACCAAGTCCAACAAATCCAAACAATAAAATGAAGTACCTTTTCAAAGCGGAGTTCAAGAACCTCATTCTCCCAACGTAAATCTTCAAGTTCTTTGGTCACCAGTGCTAGGCGTTGTTTGGTATTCTGAAAAACAATACATTAAGTTTAAAACACACAGTTTAAATAGTGAAGATAAATCTTTCTGATCTCATGATACATACTGCCAAAGTAATTTTGTCATGATCGTAACTAGCAAGCTGGCGCTGTAGATTGCTCAATTCAGATTGGGCTTGTTTCAGTGGTTCTGTGAGTCTCTTATTTTCTCCCTGGACTTCCCGCAGCTGTTTCTCCATCCTTTCATGACTACTTTTTAGCTCCTCCATTTGCTCCTGAACAAATAACATAAATTCAATATTCTGCTCTCGATTCATATAGTAATTTGACATATTCAGAGAGAAAAAACAAACTTGCCTTTAAACTACTGATAAGAGCCAAGTTATTCAAGGTGATTTCATTGTAGTAATTTTTCATATCATTAAAAGCTTTTTCATGACTTTTAGTTAGCTCTACTACTTGTCTATTCTTTCTTTGCTCGACCTCTGCCACTTCCATAGAATGCTGCAAACCCATGTCTTCTCCTTGTGTTGTTAAACGAGCCTCATATTTTCTTTCCAGTTCCAGTGCATCTTGAGAAAATTGTTCTCGCATTTTACTAATTTCTGCGCTTTGTTCCTGTTCACCATAAACATAAACTATGTAAGAACAAGGGAAAAGAAAAGGGAGTAGTTTGTCTGATTTACTTTTTAATTATGAAAATTTTTAGTCAACTTGCCATTTTTAGCTGGCGCACAATTTCCTGGTGAGCAAGTTCTTGTTCTCGTAATTTTGCCTTTTGATTGGTTTTGTCTTTTAACAATTCATTTTCCATAGCAGTATAATCATCTTGAGCCATTTTAAGAGCCACCATACGGTCCACCTTTAAGTATGATCAGGCATTAGGCATGAAGTTATGCATTGCTTTGAATATATATGTACTACACACCTTAACATTAGACAAGTTACATTGATGTTCATAAAGAAGATGCTTGACTTTTTGCTTGTAAGTTTTGATTTCTGATTGATGTTTCTCTTCATTTTCATCTTGTGCACGATCTTGATTCCTGAAACCCCAAAAATATAATAAGTTAACAAGACGTCAGTAGTGCCAATCCCATTGGAATTTCCACAGTCAACCTCATTTAAATATACCTTAGATGAGCACGGTTTTCTTCTAATTGCTGCCTTGTAATTTCCCAGAATGTTCTCAGTTTGTCTCGCTCAAGTTGGAAAAAATTCCGTTCTTCTCTTTCTCTGTCTAGTTCTTCCCTCAAGCGGAGTGAAAATGCTTCCAGCTGTTCTCGGGACATGCTGGTAGTATCCACCCCATCCACTGGACCACCTTTTCCTTTCCCCTTTTTCGGACCCTTCATGATAACAATATTATAATGAAAATTAGAAATATGACAGCACAATACCTACAGACAACAACTGCCAAGTGCTCTGTACAAATCAAATGAATGGTTGGCACAAAAAATAAGCAAGGTTGACAGCTGGCATGCTAAATTTCATCGAGAACGCAATACTCATACCATTTTAAATGGTCTTTAATGGACAGCAAACAAGAAATATTTTCACAAATTGATCATGTGTTTGTTTTGATCAGGGGCCGGAGTTTAGATGAATAGCAGAAGTATTCGTTGCTATGACAACGAAACAAGTGTCGATCGTGTTCGTGTTGAGTGTTTTGTTTCCTTATTTGCAGTTTTAAAATCATCAACGATCAGCGCCCTCTGTATGAAGATCAAATAACTAAATTTGAATTTGTTCTGGTAGTACAAGAAAGACCAGTATGTACAAACTTGCAAATACAAGGATCAGATAGAATACGGAGCAGCATCGGATCATTTTGTAAGAGTACTTTGAAAGTGAAGGTTTTCCCCGGTCTTACCTTCCCGCATCATGGCTGTTGTTGAAGGTCTGCGCACTTTTGCCATCCTCTCCGATTTTTCCGTGGGCCGAAGTGGTATGAAAGGTACATTTCCTTGCCGCTCTTGCGTAAATTGAAACTAATTGTATTTTCTGTTTATGAATTGTTTCCTAAGTTTCTCTCTCTAGTGGGGTGTTATGTCATGTCATTGGGGGAGCATTCAATTTCATTGAGAGGTTAGGAAAGTTTTTGAAGTTACTGAGTACACCCCATTACTATCCATCTTCAGGAACAAATTTACCACGCACAAAAGCTCTCTGTGATGTGAAGAATACTCTCCAAGTGAGGCAACTGGGCAATGTACCAATAAAGAGACTCGTTAGTACTACTAATTCCATACCCTGCTCTAAATCAGTCGCAGCCTGTTCAGTTAGTCCATGTCTGAACCTGGAAGACAGTTGTTCAGAGTGGGAACACTGCAATTGCTCCCAACATTATGGTTTGTATTGTTTGCTCATTTCAATTGCCAATTTCTTATAAAAAAATAAGGTTATTGTTTAAAATGTTATCTCATTGTCAACAGATTATTCAGCAGATATAGTCAGACTGAACACTGAGTGTCTAGGTGAAGACGACATTGTGTATGTTACGAGAGGAATATTCAATCTTCAGCATACCGAGAATGAGACCAACTCTTTGCCTCCTTTTGAATTAGATTGTATTGGTGAGATTGTTTGTTGACCTTGCCCTTGCAGTATCATCTACATTTTAGTTTTGTACCTTCTATTTATAATTATTTTTAATTTCAGATGCTGCCGACAATGATTCCTATCTTCCGACTGAATTTGATTACTATTTTCTCCCTATTGATGATTCACTGGACCAGCCCACCTATTTTGATCCTGAGGACTGTTGAGCCTTCTTGGTACTTGTGATATTAGACATCTGTAGATATTTAACTTATTACTTCAACTGTCTTCAGTACAAATAGATTTTTAAGTTATGTTGACAAGAATAAAATCACTCTCATAATAAAGTATTAACAATAAAATAGTTTATTTAACAGATTCAAAGTTGCTCTCCTGCACAACCATTTCAGTATACTTTCACAAGTTACTTTCCAGCTAAGCAAAGTAATAGCTTTTTCCAGACTTCATATTATTTATACATGGATGATTAGTGATTTGCCACTGTACACACAAGGTGAGGCGGAATAAATTGCAACGAACTGTCAAGATGGAAGTGCCACTGCACATGGTAAATTAGTCCTCATTGTAAGGAATGTATCACATTGACATGAGTCCACAGTTTCTGTTTTGAATGCATCTTCATCGAAGTAAGCACCCCACTCTATCACGAGGAATAAGCCTCAGTTCTGATCCGTGCTTGAGAAATACATTGCCAGCTGTTTGCTGCGGATTGATTCCAATTCCATCATCGGTGATAATTGCTGATGTAGCTGGTGGCACTTTGAATTCCTCCGCGGCAAACTTCAGAACAGCCGTGAAGGGCGTTCCCTCTGGGACGCTTAGAACTTTGAATGGCAACTTTGGGTCCGATGTGAGAGTGATCTTGAAGGTAACTTTGGCTGCCATTGTAGGTTAGGTACACCGGAGGGCGACAGCTGGTGAGACTACTACTACTTGAAGGAATAAGCGTCAGCGCCAGAATTCTGTGTTGATGTACCACACTTTAGCTCGCGGTCAGACAAAGGGCTGAAATGGGGCTGTGACTCTCAAGCAGTATCAGATGAAACTCGCCGTCCAGGAGTCCACAACCAACAAACACTCCAACGCAACCACCACCGTCAACACGTCTGCAGATGTAGCGCAACACTGCGAATAGGGCCGGGGCCGAGTGGACTGCCGATAACCAGCCACCGCAGTATGTCATGTCTACTGCTAGAGGCGTCTGTCAAAACAGCCGACGGATAGTTTGTTTTTATTCGTTCTCACATAAAATTGTCAAGATCCTGCATGACTCCTAGAATGCCAACAGCTAAGCCGGGTTTTTGTTAACATGATGAACATAATAATACAATTGGGGACCTTATGTTAATGAATGTGAGACCTTTATTTAGTGTTCAAAGAGCTCCTGGAGCTCTTTTTGTTGTTACTTGATTTAATAGTTTCCACCCTAAAACCGTCGATAGTACAATGATTAACATCATATTTATCTTAATTCTTTTAGGAGTTTCAGAGGAATGAAGTCTTTTGTAACTGGTAACTATGGTGCGTGTCAATTGGACATTCTTTTCACTTCCCCAAAGGTTAAGGTATGTAATTGTGAGGGTTCCCTTAACTGTAATGTCTCATTTAAGCCCTACCATTATCTTATTTTCTTTGAAGGAAATGGGTGACATGGAACTACTTAGATTTGACTCTCACAGTTCGCTCTCTCACCTACAACCATTTTATGAACTCAAGTTATGCATCAGATGTTGTCTTAGAACCAATGATTTGGTTTGTCGACAATTTCACAAAATTTCTGGGTCCTGTAAGTATATTATCTTTGCATATAAGCTGAGGTTTTCATAAAGAACTTTTTATTTCTACAACCATACATTTCAAATCTGATTTCTTCTTTTTCAGTTTTTTGTAGCATGTGTATTAGCTCTTACTTCATCAGTTGTAGCAATATTATATTGGATTGGTCTTCCTTACTGGTGGGAGAAAAGCCCGATTGCAACAGTGCCAATACTAATAGTTGGGCATTGGATCCTAATTAACATCTCCTTTACCTATTATATGGGTGTTGTAACACCTCCTGGATACCCACCTGAGGTTCTTGATATAGTGTATATGTCAAATAAATTATTTCAGTTCATGAGGAATTTTCTAACTAACTTAAGTTTCTATTTTAGGGGAGTCTCATAACTGAAGCTGTGAGCATCTGCAAGAAGTGTATTGCCCCAAAGCCACCAAGAACTCATCATTGCTCTGTTTGCAACAAATGTGTTTTAAAAATGGATCATCACTGTCGTATCCTTATAGTGTTCCTACTACATCCCTTACTTCAATTCATGTCACTGTAATATTTTTCTTGACCGCTGTTACACAGCATGGTTAAACAACTGTGTTGGCCATCTAAATCACCGGTACTTCTATACCTACATGGCGTGGATGTGTATAGGAGTAATTTTTGTAATTATATTTGGATTGGAAATTCTTTATAAAGAAATCATATCAGGCTATTTTTATGATGAAGAATTGGAAGAACTTGAACTGGAGGGACATCCAGTTCGTATTAATACATCTGGTGCTATCATACCCATTGTAAGTCAGCCCGCAATCTACTAATTATGTTGGAACAAATGAATAAAATAGAATAAAAAGTATCTGAAAATTATTTTTGTTGGTAGACGGAGGGAGAATGGGCTGTGACTGAGACAAGTAACTCTTCACCAGCATTAGATGAAATCGCCTGGAGGCGTAGAAGTATTGTATATGTGGCTTTATTATGCACAGGTTTGTGATAGTTTTCCCAATTTATATTTTTGAATTTAGTTAGTTATGATGAGGTTTACTTAAATAATATAATTCATGGTTACTTTTTTTTTCAGGTGTTATTTTTGCTCTAGGTGCTCTGACTATCTGGCATGGAAAGCTTATCAGCCGTGGTGAAACTAGTATCGAGGCCAACATCAACAAAAAAGAACGTGAGCGACTAGCCAAGTACAAAAAGGTTGGTTATTTTCTGAATATCCATATGCTTCACAAGTTTTAGGTAATGATCAATCTTATATCTTTTGCAAAATTTCAGACTTACATCAATCCATATGACTTCGGAAGATGGAAAAACTGGATGCTGTTTTTAGGACTGACCAATGGAAGGTGAGATAAGATACACTTAACAAACCTATCTTCAAAAACTTAGGTCCATATTTTATTTATTGGACAAGTTACACGTAATTTACTATTTTTGTGCTATTTCAGAGGGTGGAGATACATACTGTTTCCCTCAGTTCACCCACCTGTTGGGACTGGACTGCGTTGGAAAACTGTCCATTCTGACAGTGATGGAGAAAGTGATGATGAAGATTACAATACTTTACATTCATGTGTGTCTAGTTGAACTTTTGGGATTCATTTGCATCAATCCAGAGAACACGGTTTTGTCAAAATGTCATCAAGTGATGTCAGTGTCAAGATTTGTTGTCAATTTTGCACCAAATGATATATTACAATGGTCATAATGATATCAAAGCTGGCCATCAAATGACCAAGTATTGACACTGACATCATTTGACGTCATTGTGACCAAACCGTGTTCTCTGGGATTCCCAATGTGTCAATTAGGGAAAAATTTCAGTTTGTCTACATCTTGTAAAAGGTAAAAGATTGTAGACTTTAATCAATTTAATTCTTGTCTCCAAAACATTATAATTTAAAAGATAAAAAATATTTTTATACATTCAAATTTTCTTTCTTATTTATTTTATGCAGCAATTACACAATAATATGACGATGTTTTTTAGCCGCTGATTAGCCAGGTCAGAATGACATCCGTACTCAAGCAGAACCCATTACGCTTGAAGTGTCGGCTGACGCCCATACATACATTCTCGAGTGGCCCTTTTCGTGGTGCGTCGGTAATCTGAGAAGCACAGAGAGCTCAATGTGGCGTGGTCCCTCGCGATCGGATGGTCCGATCCAAAAGCGCTCAGCGAGTTAGGCAGTCCCGTGGCACAACGCTGCCGGACGGTGTGGCCTACCCTGCGGTCATCGGGCGCTCGGCGGTCGCTCTGCACAGGAAACCGGTACCAAGAAGCTCTACCACCCGGTTACCCACCCTAGAGAATACACGATAAGTGTGAGTAAACTAGGCATTGTTATAGACAAAGAGGCTGATCCCTGGTCGCGGAAGCGATGTCCGTTTCCGTTGTTTTGTGATTTTGTAATGTTGGCAATTAATCATCATGGGGAAGTAATTTTCAACTTCTTTCCTCCTTAGTTTTTTTTTGTACCGATTCTGCCCATTTACTCGACGCCGCTTCTCGCGCGTACGAAATATACCTCAGTTCTACCTTGCCGTTCTTATGCGAAGGCTTGACAACGCATAGACTGCAACCTACGGCGTTTTAGAAGCAAGCGCTCATTTTTAACTTTGCCCTCAGTTATCTTTCTAAGAAAATAATTGCTCGAAAATTAGTTTCGAAGCAATTTTTGTAGTGCTCTGATCAGAACAACAAATCTCTGACTCACATCAACCCTATAAACTTTACTATTGGGAAGGTTGGATCCCCATAAGTTGGGCCGTGATCTCCCAAACTCCTGGGGGCTACTCGACTCGATTGTTAAGGCTTCGCCTCTTATTTTTATTCAGATTCTTTATTTCTTATTGCTTTAAGGCTCAGCCAATAAGGAACCGTACAATGTTGCACTCGCTCGCACACTTGATGGATTCGGCCGGGTGTTGTGCGTTTCTCTGACGCAGTAGCGCTGTCAGTCAGCTCGATACGCCGCAGCTAATTACTCGACACTTGTGATGCACGTCTGCTCGAGCTTTCCGAACGACAGGCGTGATTGACGGCATGGCACGACGCACCGCGCCGCCGCCGCCGCCCTGGTCCCGGTCGCGGCGGGATCGCTCGCTACGCCATCGACCCGCCGCCGAGCCGACCCGCCTCCGGTGGCTGCTTCACTGTGAGGTCATCGCCACGTCTCCAGTTTTCTTTCCGTCTCGCGCCCACGTCATAGAACGCCAAACACCAGAGGCAAACGCATGGCCAACCAGTCGCCTACCAAGCGGAATATGCTTACGGGGGGTCAGGTCGCAGTATTCGCCTACACCCTGAAAATCGTTTCCTTAAAACCAGGGAATTTCCTTGAAATTAGCCTTGAATCAACAAAACCCGACAAAACCTTAATTACACATGAGAAATGTTTTCCCTTATTTTAAGCAAAAATGTGCTTTAATCTGAAGAAAAGTCTTTAATTCGAGGTGTTTTTGTCGTTAAACCAAAGAAATCTATTTGGAACAAGAGAAAAATTTCCTTATGGTTTTGCAAGGAAATGATTGTTTGGGTGTGCACTGTAAATATTAAGTTTATAATATAAGTAGGCGACAAAGTCGCTTGCTACAAAACAGGGAGCGCCTTACCTCATGCACCCTCTTGACCCATGTTAAATGTATACATTGTATATTCACGGGACTCCTTTCTGTAGCATGCGACTTTTGCACCTACCAATGGGACACCTTGTATTTTCAATATACTCTACTACAATGAGGAAAGGAGGAGCAGGATCCTCCTCGAGGAGGGGGGAGGGGGGGGGGGTCCATGACCCCTCTACTCTCCGCGTGTGGCCCAATCGCTGAACGCACGGTGGGCCAAGTTATGGATCCATATCTTGATGTTATGAGCGAGGTCGAAGTCCGGAGCTGCTCATACGAGCCAGTATAAGTGCACCTAAAGAGCACTCAAGGCCTTCTGTGAATTATGACACCGTTTTCCAAATGTTATCAATACATCATCTGACCTCGTGCTCATCGTCTCTCTTACTTCCACCCCATGCCCCCACCTACCCACGTATGATGCGCCCTTCTTGGCGACACAACCTACGAAGTCCGTCCAGACAATCACACACAATCAGAAACAATCACACAATCGAAAAAAATCACACAAAATCGGAAAAAATCATAACACAATTTTTAAAATTCTGTCCCAATATTTACCAAACAATCTGAAACAATCAGAGACAATCATCGACACAATCATACACAATCACACAAATCTGAAATGATGAGTGTCTAGACACAATCATGTGTACTCCTTTTCGGTCAATTCCACACCCCCTGGCCCACACCGGGTGGCATGCGCTTTGAACGGATTTCAAACAGAAAGCACTTCCATTTCTAAGGCTCACAGGTGTGCCAGGTTCACAGGTGCTAGGAACGAGCAACGAGCAGCCGAGGGCATGACATATAGCATTGACGTAAATTGCCTCTCTACACCTGTTTCTTTATCACTGATTCCGCCGACGAGTATTGCTTTGGACTAGTAATTGAATGAAAGGGTATCTTTAATCCCACTCGACTCCTTGAGGTCATGTCGCAGGTCACGACGGAATAGGGCAAAACTGCAGACAATATTGGTGTCCGTGGGCTCGCGATGGAGGAAGAGGCCTCTACCGTAGGAACCGGGACGACGGGTAGAAGCGGCTACCCGGAGGGGCCGTCGGAGGACATTCCTTGCCCCAGTGGGTGTGCGCCCATCACGAATCCGGTCATTTTCCAGTCATTGTCCACTCACATACCAGTCATATCGCGGCCCGAGGTGTCACTTTACATCAGTGATAAAGCCAATCAGCTACAATGCTCGTCGAAGTCCGGATGAGCCCTTGCGCCACCTGCGAGCGGGGAACCCGACAGCTGCCCCCCGTAAATGCACCGGTTCAAAAGCCTGGCCTGGAGGAGACTGTGCTGGGAGGGGAAACGTCAAATCCGGCGCGCTATCCACTTGGCCAAGCAGAGTACAGGTGTACAGGGGTACAGTGGCCGTTTTCCTGTACGCATTCGACCGTCCGAATCGTCTCTACAATGTCATCTCTCCAAAAAGTCCGCCTTGGCCAAGTTTTTTGAAAGATGTGCGGCGGGTCGGAGGTTCGACGCCCGTCCGATTCGCCGCTTTCATTGGGAGTTCGTAGTTCTGCAAAAGTGCCCCAAACAGGTGAAGTTGGTTGGTCCATTTATTGGGGGGTCTCCCTAAATGGCGCTTACGTTGTTTCCCGAAAAACACCGAAATAGTGTTGCCTTTAGGTTGGCTCCTCAACGTCTCCGTGTTATCTCCAGGTAAGCTTCGCAATGTCTCCGCTTCGGGTTGGCTCCCGGCTGTCTTTGAGATGGCTTCAAACCTTTAAACTGGCTCGGATGTCAAGTGTCGCCGGTAAGGCCCCCGATGGCTCCGAAAGGGCTCCCCGTTGTTCAGGTGCCGGCCTATGTTTTGCTCCATAAGGCGTCTGCTGTTTCTATTGCGGATGCAGTCGCGATGTCTACGGCTCGGTTAAACAAAAGCTGGAGAGTGATCACAGCGAGCCTCCGCGATGTGTTGAGACGGAGCCTTTCTAGAGCCATGCCAAGCCGAATTTTTCTGTACGGGAATAATATACAGTGATTAACAGTAAAGTTGGACGCTTTAACAGCAGGGTTGGACATGAATCTTTGGACACTTTAAAATGTTCAAATTTACTGTTGAACACTTTGAACAATTCAAACAACCAGTCAAACACGTAGAAGTGTGCAACACAGTGTAAGCACTTGGTGTGCACCCCAGTGGATCACTTTATTCATCAGTGTGCGGTCGAGGGGTCACTAACTCGCATAATACTCCGTACACGGGACCCATAATACCTTTATTATAACACTTTATAGTACCCCACAATATTATTGCACATGATGCCCCAAAGTACCCACATAATACCTCATAATACCGCCCATAATACTCTATAATACTTCATAACACCACATAATATGTCATACTATGACTCAATAGGTGCCAGAATACCATAATACTCCGTACACTGCTAAGATGAGGTGGCGACCCCTCGTGTGCGGTTAACTGTTGTGTCCAGCTGAGAACGCCTGACCCCACCCTCCCCACCGCTTACTGGACCCGGCGCAGGCCCTCAGCGCACGCATCAACACCATTCCAGGCGGGGGAGGGAGAGGCACATTCGGCAGCCACTTCTCTGCACCCGCTTTGTTTTTCGAGAGGCGCGCCATTGTTTGTCGCGCGATGCATAAAAACTCGCGGCGCGCGCCAGGAGTAGCGCGCTACCGCTCCCGGTGACGCCGCGCGCCGCCGGCTCAGTTGACAAATAAGTAGTCTGCCCGCGGCCGGCTCTGCCCAATCTCACGACCGCCTGCCTCCCGACCCGACCGCGCACCGCGACCCGCTCCGCATCATGTCCCTCCTGGTGCTGGCCGTGGTCGTGCTCGCCTGCGCCCGCTACGGGCCGCGCGCGTTCCGCGTCCTCTCCGGCATCGTTCGCACCATCTGGAAGTCGAGGACCATCCCGGGCCCCGTCGAGGGAATGCTCAGCTTCTACGGCTCCACCGACGAGTTCATCCACAAGGTGCGCGCCACGTCGCAGCGCTTCGGCAACACGGTGCGCATCTGGGCCTGGCCCGTCGTCTGCATCTTCGTCAGCGAGCCCGAGGACCTCGAGGTAAGACCACCCTGCACCACCACGTCGCCGTCGAAAGAGTCGTCTACCCTTAACTCTTGGGGACTGTGAAAATTCGTCACGCGATTTTCAAGGATTTCCGAACTCTAACACATCAACTCCCCCTAACATGACCCATTCGGTGAAAATTTCAGGACACACAAAAGAAGAGAGCTTTCAAAAGGCTACATGGTTTAATTAGTTGCACAAACCGGATCAACGAGTGGATGCTCTGGCCTTTCTAAGGTTTTTTTTAATGCGGCCTTTGAACTTGCGAACGTTTTGCCTAGCAGTACCAAACCTTTTAAGAACATTTCCAGAACGTTATTTAGGTTCCCTGAACCTTCAGCAAACATTCTAGAACGATTCGTGCTACCAGGGTTAACCCTCTATGAACTTCTTGATGGTTCAATATCCCGCAGTATAATATTCCTTAAACCGCCTGCTCCTTAATGCGTGGTGTATTTTTGTGAACGACCCCTTATTCGCTCACTCACATGCCGCTCACCACTCTGCTGCCCCGTCCCCAGGTCATCTTCAGCAGCCCGTACCTGCAGTCCAAGGCGCCCATCGTGTACGACGCGCTGACGCCCATCCTGGGCAAGGGGCTGGCCACTTTGAACGGCGCCGAGCATCGCAAGCACCGCAAGGCCCTGGGCCCATCGCTGCACTTGGAGATCCTGCAGGTGAGCGCAAGCCTTGACGCAATCCCTCGGCAGAAGCTCAAGGGCTGTACGACGCGTGACGCGTCGAAAAGCGCGGCCATAACGACGTGCGGTTCTCTTTTTAGGGGTTCGTGCCCATCTTTGAGCACAACGCACAGAAGCTCTGCAAACAGCTCGAGGCCTACGCATCGACGGGCTCCACGTTCAACGTGAGCCCGCTGCTGGGACGCTACTCCGCTCAAGGAATATGCGAGACCGTGTTCTCGACGGAGACATCGCCCGGGCTGGCCGAGGAGCAGGAGAACTTCATCAAGGTGCTCATCGAGGCGTCGGACTTGATGTTCTACCGGCTCACCCGTCCGTGGTACAGCCCGGACTGGCTCTTCTACTTCTCGTCCCAGTACAAGGGCTACATGGGCGCGGTGAAGGGCTTCGAGTCGTTCGTGTCCAAGACCCTGGCGCACAAGGTGGAGCTGGTGAAGCGCGGCGTCACGCCCAAGGAGGGCAAGCGCAAGGCCTTCCTCGACCACTACCTCACGTCCGACGAGGCCAAGGTCCTGACGGAGCGCGAGCTGATCGAGTCGCTCAAGACGCTGAGTGCCGGCGCCGTGGGCACCTCCATGGACCTCATGTCGTTCTTCTTGCTCATCATGGCCATCACGCCCGACGTCCAGGACAAGGTCGCCAAGGTAAGGGAAGGAAGGCATCCCTCCTCGTCAAAATAGCGCGAAAAATATTGCATCGTAAGTGAGTGCCTATCACAACAAACTGTCGGGGCGTTACGCAGGAGCTGGACGACGTGTTCGGCGGTTCGGACCGGCCCATCGAGCCTGGCGACCTCTCGCACCTGCCCTACCTGGAGTGCGCAGTCAAGGAGACTCTACGGATGTTCCCCCCGCTCTTTGCCTTTTCGCGGATAGCTAAGAGGGACGTGAAGCTGCCATCCGGACATGAGCTTCCCAAGGGCTGCGTGGTCACCGTCATGCCCTACACAACTCACAGGTGGGTTCGCTGGGAGGTTTGCAACTGCTCTGCCACTCCCCGCTGTCAACGCGCAGCCTAAAAGCATGATCGAACGGCATTGTTTGTTTTTCAGAAACCCCAAGTATTTTCCTAACCCGGAGAAGTTTGACCCCACCCGCTTCATGCCCGAGAACAGTCGGGAGAGACACCCGTTCGCTTACATCCCGTTCAGGTGAGTGTCGTGTTACGTTGTTTTTGTTACCGAGGTTGTTACTCGTTGTGTTGTTAAACACACCCTCGGGGGCCATCCATCCAAAAAGCGCGTCCTGCCATTCGCCGTTCCGAACCCGCAGAGTTCACCCTCTGCCAGCAGTCATAGCGCCTGATAGGTAGGCATTTTCCTGCCTACTGTGCATGCGCGTACTGCGGTGTGGCCTACTCTGAGCCTCGCAGGCGCCATGCTCCCGTTATTTGCCGAATGAATCTAAAAAGAAGACGGACGCACTTTCTGGACGACCCCTTACCTTGTCCCCTTGAAGACGGCCATTTAATGATCCACACTTTATTTTAGCGCTGGCATGAGGAACTGCATCGGACAGAGGTACGGGATGATGTCCGCGAAGATAGTCGCCTCGACCATCCTCCGGAAGTACAGAATCTTGCCGTGCCCCAACGGCCCCCAGAGGCTGGAGGACTTCGTGGTGGGTGTCGGAGTGACGTTCGGACTAAGGGACGGCGCCCACATTCGCGTCGAGAGAAGACTGAAAAGTGATCTGAAGCGTCGGGGGTGAGAGTGCCGGTGCCACGAGGCGACCGCAAGCTCACGATTTTTTTTCTCTGTGATATTACTATAAAATAATAATTTACGACATATTTTAAAAACAACCCTTAGAATATTTATGTTTTTACCAGACAAGCGGTCTACACAAGCGGTCTACACTTTGTATTCTTGCTCAAACGTTTGCGGGTTGCTTACCACCTTGCCGTAGACCCACCCCCGCACGGCCACGTCCAAGGAGAACAGCTTTGGTCAATTAGTCATTTTGGAGTCACTGACATTTTGATGTACTTGTGACTTCCCCGTTCTCCTTGGGCAGCTCCTTCGTATTTATAGGCACCAGCAACACTCATATGGAGGAGGCGATAAGTTAAAAGAACGGGGAATACTCATGATCAACTGAGCACTTTGCGGCACTCCGTTATTCGCATATACAACGATTTGCAAGGAGAATACGGTCAAACGAATCAAATATTAGGCACCACTGATTATGCACACAGCCGCACGGCACGGCAGTTTAGAGAACTATGCATAAGCTCTCACACACGTCAATCTCCCCCATTTTTTTTTCATTCGTTTATGTCCTGCTTTGGAGTTTTTACGCCCCCCCCCCCTTTCCAAAACATATCAAAAACAGATTACAAAACAAAAATAGAATAGTAGGCGAGATCCCCTACTGAATATCAAATTATTAATAAAGGGATGGGTGAAAATGTTGAATTATTCACATGGACACATGTACAGTACATGACTTCTTATCCTTTAGCGTAACAGAGCGACACAGAGCACACATATAATTGCTGTGCGCTTTTGGGTTTGCCTTCGCGCTCCAGCAGGAAGGCGCCATGCCCCTGCAAGAGTAGGGAAATTTTTCCCTGCCTGCTCTGGTACACCCTTCTTGTCTATAATATTTCTTTGCTCTCCTCTACTTCATGCAGATCGTCTGCGCAACCGCACCAGGAAAAAAAAAGAAAGTTCAACGAGCAGGCGACTATTTTATTTGCATATTGGCTTGAGGTCGTGGTCGTGCGACGGGACACGGGACAGAGATATCCCGCAGAGGTTCCAGCGGAATGATATTAGTAACAACCTATCAGCGGAAATGCTTTGATTTATTTAACAAAATACTAGTTCCTGGAGGTATGACAGAGAAGTAGTAATCACAAACTTGACTAGGTTCATACAATTTCTATACACAGTATTAAAGGGAAGGACGCTACCGTTACTTACAATACGAAACAGATTAATTTTTGGCATTACGACCCGACATGCACGGGAACCAAAGACGCAGAAAAGTGGAGTATCATAGGGCTCTCGAACGGCCAAACAACTCTGCAAATCTAACTGCATAACAACTGCAACGGTTTAAATCGCAAAACTAAAAGTTTTACTGTTCAAGCTGTAAAGCTAAAAGTCTTGCAGTTTGAACTACGAAACAAAAAAGTTATAAAGTTTAAGCTGCAACTATAAACAGTTATATGAAGTTTGAAACTACAAAACTTAACTGTTTCTCAGACCACCTGTTATACAGTTTGATTTGCAGAGAACGCCGGAATTATGTTTTCTAAACTGATTTCCATTCTTCCATGTTTCAGCCTCTCGTGTATATTTACAACTTCATTAAGGTACACTGTAGTAAAGAAGAGAAGAGACACGGAGATATACAAATTTTCGGACTGTTACAGTGAAATTCACAATATAACACAGTTTCAAGACACAAAAAGATACAAAATGTACACCTTTAAAAATAATTTTAAAGATTTCAAATATACATATTTACAATGAGGAGGGTTTGAAACGTGTGGCATGCAATCCGTATGCACTGGTTTGCGGGAAAATGTTGGTGGATCAAATCATGAACACTGCGGCGCGCGCTGTGTCATTTCAACACCATTTTACACGAAACAGGAAGAAGGCAGGAACGGGGTGAAGAAAGGCATAACACAGAATCCTAAAATGTGTTCTGTTCAAAATTGGAACAGCAAAGCAAACGAGCGGGGAAGACAAACTCTCAAAAAATTAACGCTCCAACGAGGGCAGAGGGGGAGGGTTATAAAAGGTGAAGGAAGAGACAGAGATGAAATGGTCTCTGACAAAATTGGATCGCACTGTACTACATTTACATACAATCTAGAAATCCAAAGTATTTTACAAATTGATGATTTTTTTTACATTACATCAATTCTTTGAAGTGTAATATTTTCCCCACTAAGAGATAATCGTAGCAAAAGCACGCATATTTCAAAACGACTAGTGCTTCACACTGTAACTTAGCTAAAACATACAAAATCAGTAGTATTTACATGGAATAAATGCTTAAATTAAATACCTAATGGAGGACAATGGTAACATTCTCAGAGCACTTTGCATGGAAATTTCAAAACGACCTTTAAAAACGTTGACGAAAACTAAAACACCAAGTTTCAACGACCAAAAAGTTATCTGGAAACACAAGTGTGATACTGTCCAACAGTTATAAGTGCAATACCACGAGTATCACACTTTAAAGTGTAGTGCCACACATGTATAATACTTAAAAGTGTAGAACCAAGGGTGGATCACACCAATATTTGCTCTAGAAGCCCTGTGTGATACTTAATAAAGTATGATACATATGGGATATTACACTATAAAATGTGATACATGTGTGGTACTACAACTACACTTTAAAGTGTGATACCCATGGTATTGCACTTATAACTGTTGTCCAGTATCACACTTGGGTTTCCGCATCCATCCGTTATCCATCGAGAATTGGAAAACCAAATCGACGTCAACTCGACGTCGAACTGAACCAAATCGCCAATTTGCGGAACAAAATCTTGTCGAGTCGACGTCGATTTCGCGCTGATCGATGAAATTTACCAATTTTCGACATTGAATCCCTCACTAGGTGACTGGGTTCTATTGTAATATTGTTTAATGGAAATGCCGGCAGGTTTCATTTATTCAGCTGCAACACCGCGAACTAAATTAGTAATGACTGCACGAATGCATAA